GCCGTACAGATATGGCCGGTACTGTTGGATAAAGAACACGATAGCCAACAGTTCGCGGCGGGTGACGCAGTACCGCTGCTCGGCCGGGGACAGTACTCTACTACCATAAGCCACAACGCGCTCCACGCCACCCACAATTTGTGACAGCACGCCTCCAATCCCGGTATTGCTTGCGTCTGTGTCGAGCACGAACGGCATGGAAAAATCGGGGTAGCTTAACGGCGGGGCCCCCACCAGGGCATCCCGAAGAGAGACAAAAGCGGCGTTCTCCACCGGCCCCCAATGAAATTTGACCCCTTTTGACGTCAAGGCATGTAGTGGCTTAGCGATGGAAGCAAAGTCCGCAACAAACCGGCGGTAATATGAAGCAAAGCCGATGAAGCTTCTAACCTCCCCCACCGAGGTGGGAATAGGCCAGGAGCTGACACAACGCGTTTTGGCGGGATCGGTTGAGATACCTGACCGGCCGACGATGTGACCCAAATATTTAACAGATTCGCGCAGCAAGTGGCACTTTTGTGGCTTGAATTTCAAATTAGCAGCGCGCATCTTGAGAAAGACGGCCCGAAGCCTATCAAGGTGTTCCTCCAACGTCTTACTGAATACGATAACGTCATCCAGGTAAATCAAACACACCTCCCATTGCAAGCCAGCGAGGACCAATTCCATCAGGCGCTGGAACGTCGCGGGAGCAGAGTGTAATCCCATGGGTAAGCGATTGAATTGGAAGAGGCCGTGCGGCGTTCGGAAAGCTGTTTTGGGTCTAGATTCGTCGTCCAAGGGAAGTTGCCAAAATCCTGAGAGCAAATCCAAAGTGGAAAAGAATCGCGATCCCGCGAGGGCATCCAGCGATTCGTCCATTCGAGGAAGCGGATAAGCATCGGCCACCGAGATCTTATTTAATCGCCGGAAATCAACGCAGAACCTTAGGGACCCGTCGTGCTTTTTAACCAACACTATGGGTGCACCCCAAGGGCTGGTCGAGGGAGAAATGATGTCCGATTTCAACATGTCATCTACAGCCGATTTGACATGATCCTTTTCGGCGGGACTTAACCGAAAAGGATTTTGGCGGATAGGAGCGTTGTCACCGGTGTCAATATGGTGGCGTAGCAATTTGGTACATCCGATATCGTATTTGTGTTTACTGAAGACGTCGGAAAATTCTCGCAATAAGGCGCGTAATCTAGCACGTTGTGTGTCGGACAGGTCAGGTGACTCAGCACACAACGCATCCAGCCAACCCTCATCAGCGTCTGAGGCTAATCGCGTTTGAGAATCGGTGGCCACCTGGCCAATGATCGGCGTTTCCGCAGGTACCGGAACCGCATGTGCGAACACGGTACCTTGCGAAACCACTGCCGTCCGTGTCCCGACATTGAGGACCGCGATAAACGGGTCCCCATCCCCTTTAACAATAGTCTGGGCCGTCACCAGATCTGGCCCACTCACCCCGGCTCTAGATGGTCCCAAAATAACGCCCCGGTCAGAGACCCCTTTATCGAATGGTCGACGCAAGCGCAGGGGTACCAACATCTGTGCCCCCGGGGGTACCCGCACCGTCCGAGCAACAAGCGCCTGTACCGTAGCACAGGCAACACGCAAGGCAGGGGTGGCAGGTAGGAACGTCATACGTCGGCCCGATGGAAGCTCGATGCATTGCTGGTCAATCAGAATTTTGATGGGCAATTTGGCCAAAAAGTCTGTCCCCAACAGGCACGGAATAGCCAGCGAGGAGGAGACGAACACCGGGCCAGATAGTTTAATGTCCCCTATCGAAATTTGCGCTCGAATTTGACCGATAATACCCAACGAGCCCCCATTCGCAGCGTAAAACGGTATATCGACAGGGAGCAACGGGCGACTCTGAACGGGCAGGATATTATAAATCAAATCCGAAATGATAGTTGCCGAAGCTCCCGTATCGACCAATAGCCGTACCTCCACCCCGTCAATATGCCCCGCGACAACGGACGACCCCGCCGATGCAGCCACAACTCGGTGAGCCAACTCGGACCATTGGCCCGGTTGGAGCGCCCTCCCCGACATGCCGCGACCCGACGCACCAGCACCCAAACCCCGAGAATCGTGTGTCGGACCTTGTGATAGGAAAGTGGGTGTGTGTGCAGGCCGAACATGTGGGGTGCCATGACTTGCCCGAGGATGTTGCGAAGGCTTGTGAGGAGGGCCGTCCGCAGCTCTAGGTCTCGCACCGCGCTGTCGAGGAGCCCGGCATCCGGACGCCACGTGGCCCCGGAGGCCACAATTATAGCAGACGACGAGCGTTCCAGAGGACTTGGGCTGGTCTCGGTGGCTTGGAACGTCCCGAGCCGGTCGCTCGGCAGATCGCCATCCTGCAGAACGATCCGCAGCGAAGGCTCCCTCCATTCCGGAAGAGGTCGCCGCCACGGTGTGTCGTGCAGCTGCTTTGTTCGCCTTCCTCCGCTGGGAGATGAGATTGGCGTGAATGTGCCTTGCAGCCCGCAGTGATGACATATCCGCATCGTCCTGCGCTAAGATGGTGAAGTCCAAATCGTCAGCCAGCAGCAAAATTTTCTCGGCCACCATCGCATCGATCCCCTCTTCATCCATACGCGGGAAAGCGTCCTTCGCCAATGACAGCAGGGCCGTGCGATAAGCGAGTGGCGATTCCTTGTCACCCTTCTGCCGTTCATAGAAGAGCTGGCGACAATCGGAGGGCGGCCCATAAACGGTGGCCAGCAGCTGCAGCGCCGACTGAATGGTGGAGCGAGCCGACTTGGGTGCAGCAGTGAGGGTGCCCAGGGCGTCGCCGTCCAGTAACGCCGGGAGAGCACACAGCGCCTCGTTGTCCGACCAGCCTGCCATCTCTTGGTGGGCCAAGAACCGGCGCTGGAACCCCCCCCAATCGCCGTCGCTTGCAACAAATACCTGCAGGGCCGGCAGGCGTTGCTGGAATGTCGGCTCCGTCTCCGATCCTCTTGCAGCATCCGTAGCGCGTCCCCGTACTGTATGAGTAATGGCGGACTCTAATGGGTGTCGCGCCGTCAGTGACGTGTTAGTCGGGGCTTGGTCGGTGCTGGCGTCCGCTGGTGGTGACGTTGCAACCCCTGATAGGCCGCCACCGCGACCCGCCTCCGCTGATGACGTGGCGGCTGCTGGCTGGGCACCGTCCCCCGCGTGACGAGCTGGGACTCCTCCCTCCGCCCCTACTGTCTTCGTGGCGGGAATTTCGAGTCGCCCCGCTGTTGTAAAGGCGGGAGTTTCTGGCGGGCGTTGTCCATCTTCCCGCCGCGTCGCTCCTCCCGGCCCCAGGCGAGTTATTTGTTCCAGCATAGCGGCCGCTGCATACAAGAGCTCCGCCAGCCGCGAGTGAGCCAACGCCAACTCGTCAGTCGACGTCCCGGCCCTCTCCGACGACCCCGCCGATGTCGGAGCCGGCAGCTGTTGTGCAGGTACGTCGGCGGCGATGTCTTGCACTGCCCCTCCCTCGTCGTCATCCTCTCCTGGGTCTTGGGCACGAGTCTTCCGTCTCGTATCCATGCTTGGACCACTTCCAACACCAGATGTAGTAAGTAGAGGTGGAGACGATGTCGAAGTTGAGACACACTGTTTATTAACTCCGGGACAGATACAATAGTTGAAGGGGTATCGGCCCCTTCACCCGTACTATGGGAAACCCACCCTAGTACTAAGCCCTCTGTCCTGTCCCCCAGTCCTCCTCTACTGGGCTACGGGAGGCTGACTGATCTGGCCCTGGCAAGCACAGATCTCGGCACCAGCTAACCAGCCTTGCCCTGATAAGGGCAGCGGTCTGGAAGCTCTTGGGCCGCGCCACTGGCTTACCCGGCTCGGCCCTTATAAGGACGGCGAGACCGGGGAGTCCCAGGGCCTAATCTCCGAGTCTTGGATCTTCACTGGTCAGCTTCGTGTCGAACCCCCCCCGAGCTCTTTGGGTTCCACCTTTTATAGGGATCGCCTTCGAGGGCTGGGGGCGTGGGCAATAACTGATGCGGACGTCGGTGTGACCCCCCGTGTATGTGAGTGCCGACAGCCCTGTGTTTGTTGTCCGCCGTTTCTCCCGTAATAACCCCTACACTTTTAAGAACAACACTTTTACACTGAGTTACTGCTCTTCGAACTTTGCCATTGTCTTTTCTGGAAGTTTACAATTACCGTGATAACACGCGTGCTTACCACCCTGCCAATGATTTATTAACGGGCAGAGCCAGCACAGTGTCTCGTAATCTGTGCTGTGACATCAGTGACCACTGAACTCAATGACCAAAGTGCAATTCTCAGCCAAGGCTAACAGAGTGGCAAGTGACGTCTGAGCCGGTTTGGGCATCGCCATTCACCAAAAACGCACTAAAACTTAATATGAAAGATGTAACACATCATATATATGGTGTTAATGTAGTGCATTTGATTTAAAACAAAAAAATTCATAAACAGTATAACAATCAGTGCCGAAGTATGACAGACAACCCCTGCTGACAGATAGGGCAAATAGTGGCCTTCACCCAGCAGGAGATAAACAATGGGCCGTTAAATAGTTTTTTTGTGTACTGCAGTAACAAACACAACACCTAGCAGATTCGTACGTGTATTGCAAATCATATTCAAGAATGAATAAACTTGCACTCGATCACGTAAAGAATTGTCTCAGAGCACAGCTGTTCCTGCAGCAGCTGACACGAGATGACTCAGCAACTGGCTCGGCGATAGGAGTTAGTCTGCCATTCGGGAGCAATGATTGCAATGTGAGTAAATTGCGTGTAATGTTTAAATTTATTGCAAATTTGAACCGAGATTTACATTTTGCTTTAATTATGATGGGAGGAAACCGGCAGAACCTGGAGGAAATCCATGTACAACAGGGGAAGACCGTACAAACTTCGCACAGAAAGGTGCCCAGGTCAGATATTGAACCCAGCGTCTTCTTGCTGTGCCAATCTGCAACCGTCAACAATCTGTCACCATCAACGAATATCAAAGTCGAGTTGCCTTTGGCTTCATACCTTGTTTTGCAGCGGCAGATTAGTTTCCGAGTCTTCCGCTTCAAACAACTGAGCCAGAATATTTCCTGGAAAATAAAGAGGCAAATATTACAGGTTCATGGTCTCGTTTGATAATTGTCGCGAATTTCATAATGAAGAGTGTTCAATTATTATCAACAATCCAAACCACACGGCATTTCTCAACTCAGAAAGCTGCCAATCAATACGCTTTATTGGGGTCATCTATGTAGGGTCAATAAAATCTGTACCACTTTGTGGGAAGTTTCTCGTCACCTTTCTCTGGATAGAATGAGCCTGCAGCAAGCATATGGAATGTCCTCAATTGGCTCAACACTGCCAATGTTGATGCGCTATGCCCAGCACCCTCTGAAAATATGTTTGACCGCAGTAAATGATTGTGGAAATATGAGTTTGCACTTGATTTGTAATGGCTAAATGAGGCTGTAATCCGTGTAAGTACATGCTGTCTGAGGGAACCATCTTGCAACTGCAAGGCACACACATTTCAATTATAATGTATAAACTTTAAACTTTGTAAATACAGGTTTTATTCGATCCTATTATAAAACATCAAACCCAAATGTAAAATAGCTAAAGGTATTATTTGGTTTAACACATAGGCTTTCGTGACCAATATCATCCGTAATAGAGGTTTTTGGGTTAGATCACGTAAATATATAAATGTGTTGTTAAAACCCGCCACCACCCGACACAGCCAACTAGTAATGGTTGTCACGTAAACAGAACGTGCCAATTCGTCACTAGTACAGCACGCCGGTGTGTTGGAGAGCCAAGCAACAACATTTAAGTACCACGTTTCGCCAGTAATTACAACTAGCTTCATCAGGCGACAGCCAGATTTGTGGAGAAGTCTAACTGTTTCGTTCCTTATATAGAGGCCTAGATGTGGAGATCACGCTCCTGCGCTCTTGCACAAAGTGGGTGGGGGGGGGGGGGGGTTACTGAGTCCACGCACATGATGCATGTGCATTATGCGAGCCCTCTGATCGTGTCCTTCCTGTCTATTGTGTGTATAAATTTAGCCGTACCAACGGTAGTCCCTATTGAAGTATGCTGCCCTTTATAGGCATGCATTTAAATAATGTATTTTTTTATTATTCGCTTCCACGCAGCACTAAGGCGGTAGCTATCCATGATGGATTTGTCATGCACAAAATTGTCCCAATCTTGATTTATAAAGCTAAGTCAAGTGCTCTAATTCCCAGTGTACTGTTCCAGTATTAGAACGTTTATCATTGAGACTATCAATCCTTTGAATACTCTGCATGGGGCCATACACTGAAGGAACAAGAAGCACATTCGTATGTTTTGGTAGACCTCATGCAGGATTTGGAGACCACAATGTTGCGGTCTTCAACAAGGCATTGGACTACTTGCTAATTTTCTGGAGTGAAAATTGTACTTGTAGTCTTCACTGTGGCAAACGCACTATCCTTTTATTTCATAGAGAACTCTAATGGGTACAAATGCACTGGAATTAAATTTTATTTTAAAAAAAGTGCAATGTTTGGGATCAGCTGAGATAATATTTCAGAGTGTATACTATATCTAATTTCAATGTTTTTTTTAGCAAACAGAAAGATATTTACTGAGATATGATAGACAGCTGTGGCAGCATAACACACGGGAAGATTGTGCGGCTTATTCTATGCATGGCCATCTTTGTCACCCACTGTGGCGATGTGTGATGCCGCAGCGGCGAAGCCGCTCAGCGGGCGCCCCACCTACGATCGCACCACCCCCCACATGAACACACACACCCCCACATAGGGCCCGGAGGGGAGGTCACCTGGCCGACAGGTTTTCACCCACAATCCCTTCTCATGGTTTCCTACGGCCAGGGAATTGAGCGATCTCTCCCGAGGCTAACTCGCACCGCGGCGCCGTGACTTGGGTGGTAATTACATGGTCACGACGGGGCTGCCCAGCCACCGTGGGTAGAAAACACACACGACACACACGGGCCAGCAGGCAGGTAGGGGGGCGGAGCCACAAACGGTGGGAAAACAGAGCCGGCCCTCTGATTGGTAGGACAAATGGGTTTGTGCACCAATGCCGCAGCCCCGGGGTTGTCCCTTTAATGTAGAAGGTAAAATGCAGACGTCAGGTGAGAGCAACGGTCCGTGGCGGGGAATCCGAGCGATCTGATTGGCCGGGAAGGCCAGCGGATCAGCGGCGAATTTTCTTTGAAGTAGGTAACAATAAAAGGCAAGAGAAGGTAGAGATGAGCAGTTCGTGTCCAGCACAAGTCAGGAGCAGTCAGCTTGCTGACCACTGGATCGTCCATGTGACGAGTCCCAGCGCGGCCAGGCCCGCTCCCAACGAGAGCAGCGAGCAGCCTCATCTCTCCGCAACTTCCAGCAGATCCGAGCCAAAGTGTGAGTATGTGAGAGAGAGGCAGAGAGCGGCGAGATAATTCCTAGAGGGCTTAAGTCTAAGGAGGAGGGAAATATTGGGTTTAAACTATCGTGAACCGATTAAACATCCACACTGATTTCGGCTTCGGGCTCCGGGGTATTTAGCATCAGACCCGCCGGGAATAAATCGTTAGTGGTCGATAACAGTCCCGTGTGGTTTCTACGAGTGTGAGGGGAGTGCATGGTGGTGTGCGTGCGCTCGCCGTAAAGTGTGCGGGCTGGCTGGCAGCGTCCCGGTGGAAGAAACGCTGCGCCCGAAGGACTCCGCGAGTGCGCGTTTTGTCCTGTGACCCGTGACCTCCGCGCTGCGTGTGTGGGCATAGGTGTGAACGACGGGTTAACTCGCGGATCTTACCCTCGATTCGGTTATCGTTACGCTTGCGCTGCGCTAACTGTTTAGCGTGTGCCCACCAGGAGCAACGGTTGACTCGCACGGGCACACGTGGGATTATTCATACGGCTATTGTTTAGATTGTGCCCGAGCGTAGTGCATGAATCCTGTGGCCAGTTACTCATCACTGCACAGAGGGGCCGGAGGACGATTAAAGCCTTTTCTTTAATTCCCCAGTACGCAGCAACACTTGTTCTAAAACCACTCCCGAATACCCGCCCCACAGCCCTTTAAATCATCTCCAATACAACCCCCAAATCGGCTACGCGTGTACGAGTGACGTCATTGCCATTTGACCCCTGACCCCCATCCCGCGCGTGTGATTGGTGCGCACGGTTGTGAGAGTGGAGACGTCGCGTTTGAGTGGCTGTGGTGTGCCAAGGGAGTCTCCTACTAATATTTTAGGGAATGCACGCGGAGAGGGGTTGTGAATTACCCGAGGTGGCCAAGGGCCAGCCAAGAGTTATGGTTCATAGAAGGGAAGCGGCAGCAGCGGGGAGAGAAGAAGGGGAGGAAAGGGGAGAGGAATCGGGGGGCAGCAGCCCCAACAGCTGTTGAAATACCTCACCAGGTACTCATTTGAGGCTGAATCAACCTAGAGAAGGCTCGGGACCGGTCAGATATTTGTCTCTGATGTTATGCCATGAGTAGGATCGAACTCAAGTCAACCGGTAATTTAGCACAGCGTGCTAACCACTACAAAGACAAAGATCTCCCGTATAGCCTGAACAGACTGTTGAGGCAAGTTTGTTTGCGAGTACATATGAAGGCTGGAACGGCACACGAGGGGGTGGGTGGCCAGCACCACGCCAGGCCGTCACTACTGACACATACACACATTCACACACTCAAGTAGTCGGCGTGTGTGAAATTCACCAGTGACACCTGCCCTGGGCCAAAATGTGAATTTTTTTAAATTAAAATCACGATGCAGTTCATGTGAATTGACAGCGAGTAGATGGACACCGTTCATATTGCCTGCAAACAAAAAGACAATGATCTCCCTTATAGCCTTCAACTGAGTTTTTGAGTGCTGATAGCGAGCGCCTATGAAGGCTGACACAGCAAATGAGGGAATGGTTGCGATCCGCATGACGTTTGACCACTTTTTCCTCCCCACTGCTACTGTTTACACACCACACCAGGGACTAATTTAAGGCTAAGTTGGCCTAGAGGAGACCCATAACCAGTTCTGCAGAGGACTGCATCCACGTGCCGAATCGGGCATGCATATTGTTTGACCATACTTTACCACTCTAGTCTGGGCTGGTTGGTGAGGGGGGATAAGACCGGTTTTGATATCACTCGCCACTGATGTTAGCCGTGGCTCGGAATCGAGCTCTAGTCGCTGGGCTTATAGTACAGACAAAGGTCCCCAATATAGCCTTAACGGATTGTTGTGGCAAGTGCTATTAGCGAGTATCTTATGAAGGCCAGCACGGCACACGAGTGGGTGGGTGGCCAGAACTACGCCCGGCCGCCTTTATCTCCATAGTGGCGATGTTTGCACACCGCTCCAGGTACTCATTCGAGACTGAGTCGACCTAGGGAAAGACCAGGACCGGTTCAGAGGATAATCGTCCCTGGTGTTGGCCGTGAGCGTGAATCGAACCCGGGTCGCCAGCTTTGTAAGCGCAGCTTCCTAGGCGCCGCATCACCACTCCCGCAGAGCTACGTCTACGACAGGTACCTACGGTAGACAGCGAGTAACAGTTAAAAGATGGACAAAGAAGGAGGGGGGGAGAAAGCCAGCGTGTGCTTGAACGGACAAGCTCTGGCGTGACCTAAGAGGACACACGGCTGCACGGTGCTGCAGGTGATTGGGCGTGTGCATGTCGTTTTTGAAAGGTGAACGTGCAGGAATGCTTGTGCGGTTTGGTCGTTGCTGGGTGCGATTGAACCTGCAGGACTGATTCAGGAGATGGAAAATAAATAAACGCCTCCCTCTCCCTGGGAATACACGTGGGGTGCTCGGTGTCAATCCACTGCTGGATGAGGGCATTCGCACGCCATGCAGGTCATCGGTATTATTTGACCACACTTTGTCGGTGCAGGTTGATGAAGACGGGTAGCATTGGATGCTGTAATCATGGATTTTGCCACACTGTCCTCTGCTGCCCACCATGTGGGCCCGTGGCCTATAGTACCTGTGTTGTGCATGGTGGTCGCCCATCCAGGCTTTATTCAGGTTCAACCCCGCTTAGCTTTAGAGGTCTTAAGAGATGAAACACGTTTT